ATAAAACCTAGCTCTCCTTCTGTTCCTCCCAGTCACTATCCACTCCCTTTACCCTAAGGGTATCTAATATCCTGACTTGCACATTATAGTTTAGTTTTTGGTGAAAGTTTTTGAACAGTCTCAAAAAAAGACACAGTGCTATGAGTCTGGGCTCAAGCTATCCTCTATCTCAGCCTCCTGAGTAGGGGGGACTACCCGAAAGGCCCATTTGCGCTATCCAGCCGCTCATTAGGTTTTTTTCCATTTTTAGGTAGCTGGGTAATTTATTTCCTATTTTTTTTATTTTTTTTAAGATGGGTCTCACTCTTGCTAGAGCTGTTTTGAACTCCTGACCCAAGTGATCTCCCACTCAGCCCCAGAGTGCTAGGATTTATAGGTGTGAGCCACCCAACCACCCCCTCCCCCCCGGTAGTGTTTGAAATTTATGTAAGTAGAATCATATTTTTTTCGTCTTGCTTCTATCACTTAACAGTGTGTTGATAAAATTCATCCACATTGCTGTATATTGAGGTTTGTTCACTTTATTTCTTATGTAGTATTCCACTGCACAAATATACAACAAATTATTCAACCATTGCCTGTTGGCAGATATTTCGATTATTTCAGGTTTTAGGTATTATAAAACAATGTTGTTATGACACATAAAACCAGAGTTTATTTAGTTTAACCTATTTAACGAAATTACATAAAATGCAATCATTACATAAAAATTTTCTGAGGACACACAGAAAAGTTTTCTAAAGATATTATCAATTCAATGAAAGACAAGGATAAAAGATTGGAAGAAAATATGTATAAAGTCTGAATGGTAAAGTACTGGTATCAAGAATATATAAAGAACTCTATAACTCAATAGTAGGAAAGTAGACAACCCAATATAAATGGGCAAAACATTTGAGTATCTACTTTACCATAGTAGATATGGTTGACAAAAAATATATAAAAGATGCTTAACATCATTACTGATTGGGCTAATACAAATTAAAATCCCAATTACATTATACTACACCCTTATTAAAATGGTTTTGTAAACCGACAATATTAAGTATTGGAAGGACACAAGCAAATGGAGCTTTCATACACTGTGCGTGGAAATGCAAAGTGGTAGAGCGACTTTGGAAAACAGAAAGTTCACTTACTGGAAAGGAAACTAAGACTCTGAGATTTGGACTTGACAGCAAGCACATAGCTATTAGGTGTGGCGCAGGTCTCAAAAAAAAAAAAGGAAAGATATCAAACAGAAATGTATACAAAATTCTTAAAGATTAATGACTTTAATTACTATTTCATTAATTCCCAGTGAGAATGTGCATTGTGGTGAGTGACGTTTGCAGCATTACTTACTAGGTCTGTGGGAGTTGCAGGAAGAGTATACAGAACTCTGCTTCCCGCCCCCAGCAGAAGTGCTGCTACTCCCCTACTCCACCTGGGCTCCTAAATGGTGTGATCTGGCAGTCTGGATGGGAAAGGGGCAGAGTGGTGGGTCTGCTGAACCTCACCTTGATGGACCAAATGTTTTTGCCTCAACTTGCTCAGAGGCCAGACTACAGGTACAGCCCATATAAAATTAGAAAGTGTGAAAAAAGAGAGGAAGACTGTAGAACTTCCCAGGTCTCAGGTTTTTAGGGAAAGATTATTGTATCTGTGTTTTGTTGGTGGTGTTGTTTTTATCATTGGGTAGCAAGTCAAGCAATTGTCTTCTCACAAATGTAGTACATGAATTTGGAGCAGTCAGAAGCAGCTGCCTTTCTTCCTCTTATACTTGCACAGTTTCCACGGTCTGATTCTTTCCAATCACCTAAACTAAAATAAAAGCAAATAAGTGCTGTGAAACATACATTCATTAATGCAGATATAAGAGATATATTGGTCCAAAGTTAAGGTGGTGTGGTTTTTTTTTTGTATGAACTATGTCTTGGTGCCCTAGGCATTCCTAGAGTATCTTACAAGGAATATAGACATAGAATTAAATATGGAAAGTCTCCTTTCTTTCTTCATGTACTTGACTCCTTACTGAGCTTAGGTCCCTTGGAAGTGTGAGTGTGTGCGCATAAAAGTGTGTATGTGTGTGTGTACATTTATATTTCTGTATATGTGTGTATGGATAAATATGTGTATGTATATTTCTTTCCTATATGCCTTCAGGACTATAAAACAGTATCTGTGATTATAAAACTTATTAGCCATTATCTATTTTAGAGACTTACATTTTGGGTAGAGGTTCTGAGTTATCTTCCCATGTCCAGGGTCTACTCATTCCTTTACGGGACAATCCAATCCACGAGGAATAAGACAAATGAGATATTCGGTTTTCGATGAAGTTCTGTAATAAATGGAACATTATTTGTGATTGAGAATTTTTGTATGTCCTCGAATGAGGTAATATACTCTTGTATATCAATTTTGATTAATGTGAATATGAAAAAGTATAAAGATCAAATTCACCCTGAATATTTTTAAGTTACAAAATAATAGAATCTTAGTTATTGATATTTTATTAAATGTAGAGCTATAAATAAGAATGACACTTAGTTTAATTATGTTTATTTAAACTGAGGGCTGAAATCTCAATTTTCTTTTGAAACATTTTTGTGGCTCAAAGATGAGTTTTGAGCAATCTGGTTTGTATTTTAGGGTCCAGGTGTGATAGCTATGAGATTTCTAACAATGTTGTTTTATATTTTTGTTTTCTACAAGTTCTGTGTTCATTTTTTGTAAAATGGTCATCCTGAGAAAATAATCTATTTTCCATTAGACGAAGTGTTTACAAAGCTGGCTTAATAATTACTTGAGGAGTATAAAAGTAACTGATATTCATTTAGCAATTTATATAACTCTATAAAGAGGATGAGGGAAACCAAGAGAAGACACTCTCAGGAAAAGCCCAAATTTAGGATACACACACTGCCATGAAAAGTCAAAAGTTCCATTCGCAAACACTGCTTACTTATTTTCTAATGTTTCCATTAGAGTTCTAGGAGTTATGATTATACTTACATAAGTATTTCTGAAATCCTCTAACTATCCATATTAATTCTGTACTTCTTGTTTTTTTTTTTTTTTTTTTGAGACAGAGTCTCGCTTGTTGCCCAGGCTAGAGTGAGTGCCGTGGCGTCAGCCTAGCTCACAGCAACCTCAAACTCCTGGGCTCAAGCAATCCTGCTGCCTCAGCCTCCCGAGTAGCTGGGACTACAGGCATGCGCCACCATGCCCGGCTAATTTTATATATATATTAGTTGGCCAATTAATTTGTTTCTATTTATAGTAGAGACGGGGGTCTCGCTCTTGCTCAGGCTGGTTTCGAACTCCTGACCTTGAGCAATCCGCCCGCCTCAGCCTCCCAGAGTGCTGGGATTACAGGCGTGAGCCACCGCGCCCGGCTAATTCTGTACTTCTTATCTAAGATCACAATGGACATTCTCACTAAAATGTGATTGTTGTTTATGTTGAGCGAGATAGATTTCACATATACACCCGTACTGGGGTACTTTACAATATATCACATTTTAATCTAAGCTCTTTATTTTGTTTACTAAAACATGTTTCTTCAGGCCATGAACAACAATGGCAATCTTCTAATGAAGTAAAAGAAGATTAATTAAAACTCTAGAAATATCTTCTTCTGGCCTGAAATTTTGCTGAGCTTTCTTGATGTATTTCTAGTTCATTTACTTTTACAGATATTTGTGAGTTGTTGAAAGCCAAGTATATGGATAATTGGACTGGCACAGAGAATTGAGTGATTCTTAGTGTCTATTAACCTGTTTTTGAGAGGATATTTAAAGATTGCCCTTCACCTGGAATGTTAAAATAAATATTTTTGCAAGAATAATTGTAAATCATTTCTGTAATTTAATTCTATATTCCACACAAGTCACAATTATAAGATTATGAAATATTTAGTTCACTTTACATAGGCTGCTAGTATGAGCTCAAAGCTAATACAAAGTAGATAAAATTAATTGATCTTTAATTTTAAATACCTTACCAGCTCTTCTTCATCATCTATCTTAAGAAGTGTAGAGTCTGTTTCCTTGCAGAATTTCTTGCTGTCTTCAAAGTTTTTCTCTTCACGTGAAAAATAATAACAGTTCTTTCCATGACGTGACCACTTAGTTTTACATTTACTGCTCTCAGTTCCTTGAAAACAAAAAGGGTTTCCCAGAGACTGAGAGATGGAGAAATCCCTTCCAGTCCTTTTGAAGACATTTATTTTGTGAGACTGATGGGCTTCCTTTCTGCCTTTTGGAAAGAGCCCTGCTCTGGGGAGAGTGTCACATTGCTTTTAGTCCACTAAGTCTACGCACAATATTATTAACATTTTCTAGGAAAAGTTTATTACAAAGTTCGAATTTTCCCTTACAATCTCTACTTCAAGGACTTCATCATGGGAAACGGCTTCTTTGTATTCTCTAGACTGCGTAAAAATATGAATACAGAGCAGATCTCCACTTAGTACCTGATCCACATACCCATCTTAAAGAGTATAATGATGAATTGAGAATATGATAAAAGAATTGCAGCATGTTGTTGTAGCAAAATTATTAGTTGGGGAAATCATGAAGTCAAAGAATATAATATCATGCACACAGAAAACTCTAACCTCTGGGTACTAGTGACTTTTTCCCAACTAAATGAGAATGAAAACTGGACTGGACAAGCAGTTTATTCTACAAGAAAACCCAAGTGGTGAAGGGTATTAGGAGATTGAGGGAAAAAGAGAAGAGACTTGTTGGCCTCAGACTTCAATGCATACTTACATACCTGGGGTGAATGGTTTGTCTGTGAAAGCCCCGTTTTCCAATGTGGAATTGTGCTGTTCTGTTACATTTTTCAAAGGAGCCTCCTGTGATCGGGCAGGCTGATGAACCTGGAAAACTTTACTCAGCATTGTTAGCTTGAGAGAAACATAACATGGGACTGAACACAGGCAGAATTTTAACTTTAATATGTCATTTAATCTTTAGGAATTAAGACCATTTTTATTCCTATGGTTTTAGGCATCTTTTCTCTGGATATGATTCCTACACCTACATCTCATTCATTGAAATGACATTCACGACGAGACATCTTACTAGACCTTGATGACAGAACAATGAGAAATGCACAGCTTCCGTCTGCACGAAACCCACTCATAGCAATGGGGCGAGTATGCAAGTAGAGTATATTGCTGGTGATATAAAAGAGGTAATTACGCGGGGCTGTTGGTAAGTAGAAGAAGAGTTGAGTGACTAAAAGTAACCTCTGGAATAGGTGACAGCTCAGCAAGGCTGCACAGAATCAGTGATGATCTAAACTTGCTTTTGGCTCATGGATGGGAAAGAGCTAGAAAAGTGAACAGGGTAGGCTATAAAATTATACATTGCTGGAACCCATTTTCAAGATGAGAGAAATGGATAAGACACGACATAGTAGGATAGCATGGTCTTGTTGAGCATTCAGATCTAGGAACATATTGAAATAAATTCCCCCTGTTTGGTACTCAGACCGAAGCAAAGGTTATCACTATTCTCTGTCACATTCTATATTATTTTTCTTGGATCATGAGTGTCTTTTTTCACCAGATATCCTTTTAATAAATTTTTTGGTCATTTGATTTAAAAAAAAAGCCAAAATTAGTACATCCAGATGATAGGTTGTGTATAAGGCATTTTAGGGGAAAAACTGTAAAGGAATATTAAAACCAAGTTGTAAAATATATATGAATTACAAGATATTTGAATTTACACATAAGGCCTGTCTTCTGAACATTTTTAATTTTCACGCCAGAACACTGGAGAAATGCTGGTAAATTTCAATATTCTATCAAAGCCACTAATGCCCTTAATCTTTAGGAAGTCTGTTACACAACCCCAGACCCTCCCACTCCTTCAAAATCATAGATACTGTGGTTGTGTAGTTTTTGAAAGTTACTCAGCAGTCAAGCCAAAGGATCAGATTTTAAAACATTGCTTGGTTACTATGCAAAGGATAGACAGAATTTCAAAAATACCAGGATCATAAAGAATAATTCAGAGGCACAATTCTATTCTTGGGTTTTTTCTAATCTGCAACTTTTTGGCTGTAACATTTTGCTTGCTTTACTAACTTGGCTGTTAGCAGTCACTTCAAACTCCAAACATATTAAACAGTTCAATGTCTTAACACTTGCCATTGAATATTTCTGTCTTTTTTTTTTTTTTTATCTATGTCACCACTATCCACATGCAAAGGCCTCAAAATTTGGAGAACACATGATTTATTCGTCTCCTTTTCCATCCACAAGTA